CAAGGCGCATGCGCTCGGCCGCCTGCCCCGCCCCTGCTAGCGCATGCGCGGCCCACCCGCCCGCGCGAAGCTCGATAGAATACAGCAGCGTCTCACGTCTCCCACCTCCGACGCGATGGGAAGTCGGCCCCCCCCGCCCGGGGTTGATATACCCGGAGGGCGGGACAGCTTCACCCTCCACCCCCTCCGTCGAAAGTCGGCCAATGCGGACGCACTGTTTTCCGTGCCCACGTGGAACGTTGGCCAATAAGTTCGAAGGACATCCCCCCTTTGCTAACGTCGCCCCTGCGCGCGAAAAGCCCCTCCTCTTCTTCCTTCCACCCGTCCCCGGGCCACGACATCAGCCAATGAGAGATCGGAACGAAAGCTGTCACCCTCCACCCCCTCCGTCGAAAGTCGGCCAATGCGGACGCACTGTTTTCCGTGCCCACGTGGAACGTTGGCCAATAAGTTCGAAGGACATCCCCCCTTTGCTAACGTCGCCCCTGCGCGCGAAAAGCCCCTCCTCTTCTTCCTTCCACCCGTCCCCGGGCCACGACATCAGCCAATGAGAGATCGGAACGAAAGCTGTGGAGGCCAATCGGAAACCTTTGCAATGGGCCCCTGGGCGGCACGGGGAGGCCTTCGACCCCAGAGCTGTCTATGCAAAGCGCCTGTTGCGGAGGGAGTTGCCCCATGTAAATGGTTATTAAAATGGCCAAGCGGGTCTTTTGGGGACAAGAACAGGGTAACAAAGAGTTCCCCAGGGCGCGTAGAAATGAATTGAATCTGGTGCCGGTTCAGGCACTGAAGTAGACACCTAAGCGGCGCACTGAGTCCGTCGGGGTGAACCCGACCACCTATTCACCCGGTGGCGGGTATACGCCACCGGCGAGAATGAGAAGCCGCTTCCCGTGTGAGCGGCGCATTCAAAACGAGTTCGTGTGGGGGGGTTCACCTCCCCATGAAGCCCCCCCAGGCAAAAGGCAGTTAACAGTGGTCACGTGTCCTCCTCTTCGGACATGCTGGGAGTGGTAGTTTCCCCCTAGCACGGTGTCGGACTCCGCGCCTGCGCAGAACTAATTGCCCGCCTAGCTCTTCCCTCCTTCCCATTATAGAAACATAAAAGGGGGTGGACAGGAGGGTAGTTCCCATCCGACCTGAACTTTCACCCCATTTGAGGGCCATGACCTATAACCCCAGCTCATACGAAAAAACTGGTCACAACATGATCACCCTTAACTGAGTGAACTACAACCTCTGACACTCCACCCTTAGTGATGTCATGGGGTGTTTCCCTGCCTGACCTCTGACCTCGCAGAAGTCTCCTTCCTCTGACTTTTGCACTTTACCCTCAAACTAGCCTCTCGTTCCAATTTATGACCTTTCACCTCTGCCCCAGGAGATCTGATTCTTGACTTGTTCCACCTCTTACCCTTCACTTATCCCCTCCTCCTGAGTGACCATATGTCTCCTGCACCTTCACAACAGTCTGCATAGTGGTGTGGAGCTGGAAGATGATCCTTTTATTTCAGGCAACTGGGCAAACCAGACACCCCAATGCTCCTGGCAAAAGCAGGTCCAGTCCCTGCTGGTGGGACTCTGTGCACATCAGCCTGGTACCAGACACATGGTCCACATGCACTCAAGCCATGTCTTAAAAATGGCACGCTCTCTATCCAATACCCAAGAAAACCATGTCTGGTTTTGTTGGAATACTGGACAAGGAACAAACTGTAGAAAAACAGGTCTTTCCGGTTTAATACAGCTGCCTGGTCAAAGGCTACAGCTCCTGGTCCTTATATAGTGAGAAACATCCCGTGTCCCAGAGGTTTAACAGTCTAAATAGATAGGACAGGCAAGGGATGAGAGGAAATGTAGAGGCAGGGAGAGATGGAAGTGACTTGCCTTAGGTTATCCAAAAATCTATGTGTCCAAGTAACACAATGTTAAGGACATAGATAAAGGTGAATATGCAGTATACAATTCCTTGATGCCATGTGTATGACAGTGGATTAATAAATAGCTGTACCTATTAAGAGTTTTATGTATTAAATACAACATTTAACATAATTGATAACACTGATGTAAGATCTAGTAGCATTATCTACGCTTTACAAGTCAGATATCAGTGAGGCTTTATGCACTCCTTGGCTAAATCAGGGTCTGTGTGTTCAATGTCCCATACAGTATGCCTTTCCGAGTAATTAAGGGCTTGTTTGGTTTTCAAATAAAAATGCACCATGAGCATCAAGTAAATTACTTCAGGGTAGGAATGCTTAAATTGCCCCCAGAATATACTGGTACAGATCCTCAAACATTCATGTACAGGGTCTCTAATTCCTTGCCTCTAACACAGGGGTTCCCAAACTTTTTGAGAAGGGGACGAGTAAATCCATTCATGAACTTTTGGAGGACCGGTAATGTTCATTTGCATATTGCATATTCATTAATCAAATGATGAATATTCAAATAAGTTGTTTCTGGTCCTCCCAAAACCCCCAGTGCCAGCTTTAGCAAAGCTTGATATGGTCACCCACAGTATTCTTGCCAGCAAGTTAAGGAATATGGATTGGATGAATGAACTGTAAGACAGACAGAAAGATGGTTAGATCAGGGTTTCCCAAACTTTTTACTTTAGTTGGAACCCTTTTCTTTCAGTAGTTTTTTGCAGCCCAAAAATATAAACACATAAAAAACAAACTGAGAAAATACCGGACATATAACATGTCTGGTATTTTCTCATTAGGTAAGTTTTATTATTGCTAGATATATCAGTTTGTAGTTTCGAACTGTCTGGCTGGTAAATGTGCTCAGGCTGCATGAGTGTGTCTACCAGCCAGACTGTTCGCAATTACTCGAGAGTGTGTGGGGGAGAGGGAGGGAGGGGAGAATAGAATCCTTGGTCCAGACTAGGGGGAAGAGGGCAAGCGCCCCAAGATCTACATATGGCCGGGTCAGTCCCACTCCCCGGTACCGGGCTGCAGCACATTGTTTGGGAAACGCTGGCCTAGTGAGATTGCGGAATCTCCATCACTGGAGATATTTAAGACCAGGTTAGATAGACACCTGTCAGGGATGAGCTAGGGCAACTCAACTTTGGAAGCCCCAGGGGCCACACTGATGCTGAGAGCCTCAACTTAAGTGTGGTTGCAAATGCAAGCAAATATATACAAATAGCTTCTCTTACACTGACAGGCATGAATACAAAGATTAAGGCAAGACTACACAACACACAGGCCCCATTTAAGTCAGTTCTGCTGATATTAATCAAATTCAATATTTATCTGATTTCTACCCACATGACAGCACTTTTCATGAGCAATGACAGTCCAAGAATTTAACTACTAAAATACATATCAACAGAAGATCATTACACTGACTACTTTTTTGTTTTGGCTCCCACTCGCCGGTCACGTGTCGATCCCCACATAAACCCAAACTGCACCGCGAGGCACAAACAAACTGGCCGTGGGCAGCATACCAAGTTATTAATAAA